GGAACAGCTACGCAGGATTCCGGCCACGACAGAGCCCAGCGCAGCCAAAACCCTGGTATAACGCAAAATCGCGCGTAGATCGACGCGTTTTTGCGTTTTCCTGGCGCCGCGGCCCCGCTGCAAGCACCCAAGGCCAAAAACCAGCGTAGCCGGAACAGCTACGCAGGATTCCGGCCACGACAGAGCCCAGCGCGGCCAAAACCCTGGTATAACGCAAAATCGCGCGTAGATCGACGTGTTTTTGCGTTTTCGTGGCGCTGTGGACCCGCTGCAAGCAACCAAGGCCAAAAACTAGCGTAGCCGGAACAGCTACGCAGGATTCCGGCCACGACAGAGCCCATCGCGGCCAAAACCCTGGTATAACTTTTGCATGAGAAGTCAAATCTGCCAACTCCACCTCGTTTGCTTGTTTAATCTTGCTCCAAATTGTGAAGATGCCTGCAATACAATACTAAGAATGCCTTAAGAATTTGAGGGACCCTCGGCCTGTTGTAGTGTAAATTTGCCTGTATTTAAAAATAAGAATTTGAGGGACCCTGGACCTCAAGCTTTCGGATTCTTCACCAGCGCTCGGGCTGTATATCTTCCTGAAGTATTGAGACTGCCATTTTGGGAGGTTTACATCAATTTTCAGACACAGAAAAAACAGCTGCATATGGAATTGGCTCTAAACATACCGGATGGTTCAATACTCGTTCGAATCCATTGGTATCCCACTTTTCAGCCGCAGTGGTTACTGTAATTGGGCCGTTCATCACTTCCAAATACGCACACACACAATATCAAAAAATACCAACAAAAATACAATACCAGTTCATCGGAAAGCATCACTCCAACATGGAGATAGAAAGCCAAAGAAAGCCTGAAACTTGAAGGTTCCCTATTGCGCTGGATATCCTTACTGACTTATTTGCTGAAGGGCAAATATACTTCGTTTGACTGCTTGCTCTTCTGAGAGCGACGCTGTCAAGGTAACAGTTTCCGGCTCAGATTTCCCCAACAGCACTAATCCACTGACCCATGTAGTTGGTAAAGTGATCCCTTAGTGTATCCTCAGCAAACATCCCACAAAAAGACATTGAAAAGCCAATGAAAAGTCATTGAAATACATTGAAACGTCATTGAAATCACATGAAATCACTAGTTTAGCTTCGGATTTTCCTTTTTTGATCCTTTTTTTGGTTGGGTGCACTAGACATCTCCCCTTTTACCATAGCATACCCACCACGGCACCAGGCCTATGACACTGGCTGCCTCAGACGGCCCGTCCCCCGCCGCGTCGCCGGGGGCAGGGATCTCCTTGGCCTTTTTTACGGCGATCTTGTTGTAGTCCTCACCGGGAACTGGGGTCATGGATTTTTTTGCCAACTTTTCTGGAGATTTCGTGGGGCTATCTGCATAACTGGGATTTACCACCAAGAATCTGTGAAATATGGACATACCATAACTGTCTGAGGATTTCGTAAGGATATCTACTTGGATTTACTACCAATCTAAGGTTTCAGGGGAGTATTTAAAGTGGGATTTACCAGTCAGTAACAACCTAAGGTATGGTATCATACCCTCTGGCAATTTTGCAATTGAAAATTAGTTTTTAAAGGCAAACTGTTAAATTACAAGAGGGTACGTGGAATGCAGATCCTGCATTCCAGTCAGTAAGTGATTAATGATTGACCCTACTTATCCCAGTTACAACTGGGGTCAAAATCCACTAACTGGAATGAAGCACCAAGCACCCATATCCCCATGCACCATACCCAGCAACTCCAGTGCTGGCCTCAAACCCCTCAGTCACCGCCATGCTTGGAAGCGCTCCAAAGGCCGTGAACCACGTGGCCAGGCCTGCGCCAAAGCTAAAACCCAACGAGTGATGAGTTGCTACATGAATTAAAATGGTACCCGGTAACCTCTCAATGAAACAACCCAAACGTGAATTCGTCCGAGGTTGAGATTATTCTTGTTGAAGGGCATTCCCTGGTTAGGAGGATTTTGATCATGTCTTAGCCTTAGTATTTTTAGTCAATAGTCCCATCCAGTAGCACAAAAATGTATATATAAGTTGTATCCAAGGTTGACCCACAAGGATCTACCCTTGAAACAGGGAACTCTGCAATCCCACAAAAACCATGGAATTACCGTATATCGTAGAATTCCCATTAATATAAATCTCGCAAACATGGGGAGTTTACCCCACAAACTCTTACACGCATGGAGTTAACAAACCAGGAATTAGGGGTTCACCAGCTGTGGAGAATATCAGTGAGACTTTGCTGAGGCTCACAAATATATTTGCCCCAGAGTGAGTTGCATGCTTTGTTGGGTATCACACAGGACCGAATCTGCCTGTCCGGCAGGAGATGATGTTAGTTCACCTTCAAACAACTCTTAGAGTTCACGGAAGTTGCGTAAGCCCGATGATGGAGACGCCTCGTTGTGGGTCCAAGTCCCCTATACCCAGGTGAACATCCCAAAAATCAAAAGAATTAATGTTTATTTTGGTTCACCTAGCCTTTTTTTAAAGAATCTGTTCAGACGATGACCACACCATCCGGGGGACCAGAATGGACCAGGCTTCCACACCATTCAGGGCATTTCTGGAGCTCACCTGCGACGTGGTGACTGCTGTCGAGGATAATGACGCCTTTTTCTGTTCAATGGATAAAACGGATCAAACACACAATATAAGATAAATAAAGCTGATTAATATATATAATTATATATAATATACATACATATATATATATAGCGACGGAAATCTACTTAGAACAATTTTTTTTTCCAAAATGTCTGGGTCATTTTGTTCTAAGGGCCTACTTAGAACAAAAACACTTAGAACAAAATGTATATAACAAAATTTGTTCTAAGTAATGGGTTTTCTGTTCTAAGTGTAATGATATTTGTTCTAAGTAATGGGTTTTCTGTTCTAAGTGTAATGATATTTGTTCTAAGTAATGGGTTTTCTGTTCTAAGTAGATGTCCGGCACTATAAACAAAGATTATTACCGCTAATCTTGAACATTTTGCAGATAATTGATGATAACCTACCCATTGATTGTTATCCCGGTTAATCTTCCAGAAAACACGATCTATATATATACAGCCATGGTTCATTTTTGAAATTCTGATAACACACTCGATGGTCAAACACCTCCCTGAAAAAAAGGGTTTCTGTATGATCCACTGCTGATGCTCCCCAGGTGGTGAAGTTCACACTTAGAACAAAGTTTGATGCATATATATATATATATATCAACAGATCACCCTTGATGGTTGTCCCCACTAATCTTCCAGAAATGATCTATATATATATAAATGGTTCATTTGTGGATTTCTGATAACACACTCGGTGTTCAAACCCAGAAAAATATAGAACAAACCCATCCCTGAAAAGAAGGTTTCGGTATGATCCACTGCTGATGCTCCCCAGGTGGTGGAGTTCACACTTAGAACAAATTTTGATGCATATATATATATATTTATTTTTATATATTTCACCAAATCACCATTGATGGTTATCCCCACTAATCTTCCAGAAATGATATATATATAATATAAATGAATTTGTTTTGGGTTCTGATAACGCACTCCGTGTTCAAACCTAGAAAAAATAAGGAACAAACCCATTCCATTATATAAAGATGGTTTCTGTTTGATCCACTGCTGATGCTCCCCAGGTGGTGAAGTTCACACTTAGAACAAATTTTGAAGGATCTATATTCCCACAAATTACACTTGATTGACTGTATTCCCGCGAATCATCCGGAAAAGATTGAAATAAGTATATGGTGTCTAGCATGCTTCTGATAACACACATCGTGTTTATATAAAGCCGATCAGATTGAAAAACAATGGATCCTGCCAAAACTGATGTCGGAAAAATGTTGCCGTGAGACACCGCTTAGGCTCCCCAGGTGGCGAAGTTCACACTTAGAACAAATTTTGATGGATCTATATTCCAACAATAATCACCCTTGATGATTATCCCGGCTCATCTTCCAGAAAAAAACAGTTACATATATATATATGATTCATTTTTCGGGCTCCGATAAAACACTCCGTGTTCAAAACTAAACAATAAATAGCAAACCCATCCCATAAAAAATGGTTTCTGTTTGATCCACTGCTGATGCTCCCCAGGTGGTGAAGTTCACACTTAGAACAAAGTTTGATGCATATATATATATATATATATAACCCTTGATGGTTGTCCCCACTAATCTTCCAGAAATGATCTATATATATATATATAAATGGTTCATTTGTGGATTTCTGATAACACACTCGGTGTTCAAACCCAGAAAAATATAGAACAAACCCATCCCTGAAAAGAAGGTTTCGGTATGATCCACTGCTGATGCTCCCCAGGTGGTGGAGTTTCACACTTAGAACAAATTTTGATGCATATATATATATATATATTTATTTTTATATATTTCACCAAATCACCATTGATGGTTATCCCCACTAATCTTCCAGAAATGATATATATATAATATAAATGAATTTGTTTTGGGTTCTGATAACGCACTCCGTGTTCAAACCTAGAAAAAATAAGGAACAAACCCATTCCATTATATAAAGATGGTTTCTGTTTGATCCACTGCTGATGCTCCCCAGGTGGTGAAGTTCACACTTAGAACAAATTTTGAAGGATCTATATTCCCACAAATTACACTTGATTGACTGTATTCCCGCGAATCATCCGGAAAAGATTGAAATAAGTATATGGTGTCTAGCATGCTTCTGATAACACACATCGTGTTTATATAAAGCCGATCAGATTGAAAAACAATGGATCCTGCCAAAACTGATGTCGGAAAAATGTTGCCGTGAGACACCGCTTAGGCTCCCCAGGTGGCGAAGTTCACACTTAGAACAAATTTTGATGGATCTATATTCCAACAATAATCACCCTTGATGATTATCCCGGCTCATCTTCCAGAAAAAAACAGTTACATATATATATATATGATTCATTTTTCGGGCTCCGATAAAACACTCCGTGTTCAAAACTAAACAATAAATAGCAAACCCATCCCATAAAAAATGGTTTCTGTTTGATCCACTGCTGATGCTCTCCAGGTGGTGAAGTTCACACTTAGAACAAATTTTGAAGAATCTATATTGCCACAATTTGCACTCGATTGACTGTATCCCCGCTAATCTTCCGGAAAAAATGATCTAAGTAGAGAGTACCTAGCCTGCTTCTGATTACACACCCCGTGTTTATATAAAGCCGATCAGTTTGAAAAACAAAAATCTGCCAAAACTGATCACAGAAAAATGATTTCTTTGATACCCACCGCTCATGCTCCCCAGGTGCGGAAGTTCACACTTAGAACAATTTGTGATTTATAGAATATGCTAATCGTTTGGGAAAAGCCAATATATATAATTAATAAGACACTCGGTGGAAGCATTGCACTGAAGTGACATTTTTTTGCAATCCCGGACCCTGCGCGTTAAGATCACTGCTAAGCACGCTAAAGAACTTCAAACACTTGTGGATTGATGCCGGTTTGGCATGGGTGCTGGCTCGCAGTCATAGCATCAAGGACAGTCCCCCAACCAATTGCTAAAGATCTCAATGAACAACGTGTTTACAATTAAAAAAACTGCAGCACGCAAAACTTCAACGCTGACATCCAAAGAAACACGCAATAGAATTCAATAGAAGTTGAAAAAGGGACGGTCAATGCCTTCACTGCCTCCCCATTGGAAAGCCCACAGCACACGATCCCCTCTGAAGCAACATTGCCACCTGGCACCTCACTTATGGATTGATAAGGAAACAACATTTATGCAATGTATATATATATATATATATATGCATATTTATAGTTATAGATAGGTGTATATATATATATTATATATGGTGGTAAGATGTGGTAAGGTTGCTTACAAACTAGCCTCCGCTGCCTCTACTTTCTCCAGCTGTTTGCCCCATACCTTGTCCTTTGGATGGGCATGAACATGGGCCCGAAGCACTCCTTTGATTGCTTTTAGGATAGCTTCTTTTTCCGAGCGATTAGTCACGCCGCCCCAGCTAGCGCTCATGGGCTCTCGAGAGCCACGGTAGTGGCCCTGCCACTGCCGGCTAGTGGAGTGATAGGCTATAGAACAGCCCGTTACATGACGGGGGAGCTCCGTCAGGTCTCCGAGTTCAATCCATGCCGCTCTGTTGCAAAAGTTCTTGACCTTCACAACGTGGGTAGGTAGGCCGAAATCTGCTACATCCTCGTCGGAATCGGCGAGCAGCTCAATTTCTTCACCATCACTCCCACCCTCGTCATCTTCAGCCTCCATCTTCTGCCTGTCCTCATCCAGCTCGCGAATCTGTGCTTCTGACATCTGCAATGATTCATTTTCATCTTCATCTCTCTCTTCATCATCATCATCATCATTTCTCTGCTCTCTATGTTCCTCACGATGACATTTTTCTGGAACGTCTCCCAACTCTGCAGGATGGTTGAGAACATCCGGAAGATTGTCCTGGCTGTCACCCGCAGTCTTCTGCAGCATCACCAGACGAAAGACTTCACCCTTCCCTGACACAATCTGTAGCAATGATGGGTCGTCGCTCAAACGAAGGGTCAAGGAAATGCATTGCTTCGCATTTTTCCTCAAAGTCGCTGCGTCTCCCACAAACTTCTTTGTTTTCTGATTGAAAACCAATTTCTGTGAAAGATCAGCTTTGAAGATGTTGTACCTCTCCTGCTGTGATCGGGTCAAATCTCTTCCCATCCATGCGCGCTGGCCGAGCACCTCTTGCCACTTTTGATGTTCTGTGACAAACTTGCAAACACGAAGCTCCACCACCGTGCTCATCCATCTCGGTAGGTGAAAAAAGGTCTGGTCATTGGTGTCTTCAAGGGCCCACCAAACTGACATCTCACCAACCTGGGGCTGCAACGAATGGCACTGACAAATAGCTAATCGAAGGAACTGCATATATATATATACATATGTAAACTGACATATATATATATATACATAACATATGTGTGTATTTATATATATATATATATTTATCAATGTATGTGCACACTGGTGCGTCCAGGTGTATGAAGCCAGAAATCAACAGTCTGACATCTCCCAAAGAATGTTTATTATCAGGAAAGAAACAAGCTTGTGGATTCGCATATGCTTCAACTCATCCGTGTCCTGCTCAACCTCTGGGATTTCTTGCAACTCGAGCACTTCAGCCATAGATCGACGGCAACGCTGCAACCTTTCATTCACAGCCTCCTCATCTCCTTAGAAAATGCAAGAAATGGGATGAAAACTGTAGAGAAGGAACATGGTATGAAACAATGACGGGAACAAAACGCACACAGAAAACGGTGTTATCTTTTAATCTTGATAAAGGAGCCATCAAAGAGCCACTGGGCCAATTGCGTTTTGCTGCAGTACCCTCGAGAATACCAAGCCAGCCAAATCAATTTGTTGTGCCTGGGTCAGCAGGCACACAAGCATTAGTAGCTGATAACATACACTTAGAACACTTTTTTGCCTCCCGTAACCTAACTCTCATAGTATATATTCTGCAGCGCGTACTTGTGGATACGGGTGATATTTACAGATATTTACGATGAAAAGTATATATATATATATACATATGGAGAAAGATAGAGAGAAATGGCGTCCTTCCCAAAGACACCGTGGTTGCAAAATTCATTTCACCAAGACACTCCGGAGATGAAAGGATTTGCATGGCCCAGGCATCCGCCTGCAGGGTTGTCTCCATGTCGCACCTGGGCTCCAAGGGATTATATAGAGTTTTGAATAAACACAATAATTATCCATATATATATATGTATATATTTACATATATACACATCTACACATTAGAACCTATATACATATATACGCTTGAGTCTATAGGTGTATATATATGTACGTATTTAGGTAAGGAAACCCTTACTTGGAACAAATCATATTTTGTCTGTATGCAAATATATATAAATACACCTTAGAACCTATATGCGTATATACGTTGGTTGTGTCTATACTTGTGTAGGTCCATATTTAGGTGGCGAAACCCACTTCTAGAAAAACACATTTTGTCGTTATGCCCAATTGAACCATGTGTTCTCCATCCGGCTTCTGATAACAATACACTTCCTGCTAGGGGCGGAGAGATCTCGTTTCTTCTCAAAACACATCCGGTGCTAATAAACATTTATATAAACAAATAACACATGGTTCTGCCAAAACTTATTCCAGAAGAATGGTTTCTGTGAAACCCATCGCCCAGGCTCCCCAGGTGGCGAAGTTCACACTTAGAACTAATTTTGATGCATATATATATATATTTCACCAAATCACCCTTGATGGTTGTCCCCACTAATCTTCCAGAAATGATCTATTTTTATTTATATATATATAATATAAATAATTCATTTTTGGGTTCTGATAACGCACTCTGTGTTCAAACCTAGAAAAATAAGGAACAAACCAATTCCATTATATAAAAATGGCTTCTGTTTGATCCACTGCTGATGCTCCCCAGGTGGTGAAGTTCACACTTAGAACAAATTTTGATGAATCTATATTGCAACAAACATCACCCTTGATGCTTATCCCGGCTAATCTTCCAGAAAAAAACAGCTACATATATATACATATAATAAAATTATATATCTGATTTATTTTTTGGGTCCTGATAAAAAAGAACGTATTCAAAACCAAAAAATAGAACAAACCCATGCCATTAAAAACGGTTTCTGTTTGATCCACTGCTGATGCCCTCCAGGTGGTGAAGTTCACACTTAGAACAAATTTTGAAGAATCTATATTCTCACAATTTGCACTTGATTGACTGTATTACCGCTAATCTTCCGGAAAAGATTGAACTAAGTAGAGGTTCCCTAGCCTGCTTCTGATTACATACCCCGTGTTTATATAAAGCCGATCAGATTGAAAAACAATGGATCCTGCCAAAACTGATGTCGGAAAAATGTTGCCGTGAGACACCCCGCTTAGGCTCCCCAGGTGGCGAAGTTCACACTTAGAACAAATTTTGTGGATCTATATTCCAACAATAATCTCCCTTGATGGTTATCCCGGCTAATCTTCCAGAAAAAACAGTTACATATATATATAATATAATTATATAACTGATTTGTTTTTTTGGGTTCTGATAAAAAAACAACGTATTCAAAACCAAAAAATAGAACAAACCCATGCCATTAAAAACGGTTTCTGTTTGATCCACTGCTGATGCCCTCCAGGTGGTGAAGTTCACACTTAGAACAAATTTTGAAGAATCTATATTCCCACAATTTGCACTTGATTGACTGTATTACCGCTAATCTTCCGGAAAAGATTGAACTAAGTAGAGGTTCCCTAGCCTGCTTCTGATTACATACCCCGTGTTTATATAAAGTCGATCAGTTTGAAAAACAAAATTTTCTACCAAAACTGATCACAGAAAAATGGTTTCTGTAAGACCCAGCGCCCATGCTCCCCAGGTGGCGAAGTTCACACTTAGAACAAATTTTGATGTGTTTATATTCCAACAAATCACCCTTGGGAAAAGCTAATATATAATTAATCAAGACACTTGGTGGAAGCAGTGCACTGAAGTGACATTTGAATTTCATCCAGACGTCGACGGAGTTGAGGAGCGCTGCTCCATCCGACCGCTACCCTTAGGAAGTTCTTTGTAAGGGAATGCAAGCACATATGCCATCCGTCATTGGGCCCACCACAGGCCCCAAACCCCCCGGGTACAGGGGCCACATCGTGATGGCCCCCGACCAGCTCCTGAGCAGCAGTGTGACAGTGATGGCTGTGAAGGAAGGCTGAATACATTGGGTACTATTTAGTCCCATATACTGCCCCCATATAAGATCTTCCCCTCCACCACCTGTGGTGTGGTGTGGGTTCATATGTATTGTATGTGGTGGGTATGTATGAAATGTATGATTATGCAAGGCATCATCGGAATGCATGGTAGGTACGGGTAAATTCAACACATGTATATAGTGTTGTGATAGTAGACAGGTAGTAAATAGGAAGTAGATGCATAGCACATGCATATCTGACTATATGTAGCACGCATGTACTTTGAGGTAGTATGTGTACCACATAGGTCGCCTAAAAGGTAGCATGTACCTAGCAAATACGATGCGATAGTCAGAAATGCTGCAAAGACCTACCAAATACAAAATTGAATCTCAGAAATGCTGCCAATACCTTGCAAACAGCAGGGAATAGGCAATAGGGTGTACTACCTGTGCTACCTGTGCCAATATATATATATATACAGCCTGGGCACGATGTTGTTGGCAATGCTCCACTTCTTCTGTACGGTCTCAAAAGCCTTCGACATATGGGCCCCGGCCTGATCCATCAGAACTAAAGCCTTGTCCGACCATGACAGATTCAGCTGGGCCCGACGGCAGCGCACTTCCTCTGCCAAGAACTCGAGGTAACGCATCAAGGAAACCTCATTCCATATATGACTGGTAGACTGGGGCTCAGCAACGTGCAAGTATTTGCCCAGATTTTCATTGGCCCAGATCCTGGTTTTTTGGGAAATTGTTCCCTCGCGGCACGTAATGTAGGCACGGCCTACATGGCCATCTATCCACGATAGACTGCAAAGGGTCCGTGGCACGCGCCAATTGTCCACGCTGCCGGCTGCAGCTTTTTGTCACTGCACGGCCGGAATGCGGGGCTGTGTGTTGACACGTGATCTGGGATCTTCTTCGGTAAAGCTCATGCCAAGTACCTCAGGTGATACAGAGGCTTGGGAAAAGTAATTATGTGTTGGATAAGCACACTTGGGATATGTATAGGGTGATATAGATTAAGATCGATTGATTGGAAAAGTACCTAAAGCAAACTCATGATGCTCTTTCCACCTGATGGCGGACACGGCGTAGGTACGCTGAGCGTTGCAGTGGATCTTGAGACCTGGTTCCCTTTTTCTGAAGGCAACTCCGATTCGGTCTAAATATGGTGGACCAGACCTGGTCAAAGTTTGCCACGAGCCTTGGGTGGTATCCCTTCTCTAGGGATTGTGTCCGCACGTAGCTGCGAACCTGCTCGAGGGCAGGGTGCGACCATTCAAGGTGCGCACCCGGCTTCTCGTTGGAGGCCGGGCGTATGCCACATGCATTGCAGAGGCGACGAGCACGTCGCCTTATGTACAGAAGCCCAAAACTCACAACTAATTTGTATTTATTTGCTTTTAGGTGGAAGATCATCACACTTGGCAACTGGCAAAAAAAACATATATATATATATACATATATAGATAGAGTCAACATGTACCAACTGCAAAAAAAAAATATATATGCACATATCATCATCATATATATATATATTTAATGTATATATATATAATTTTGACCCATTGCCAACCAGTTATCTAGTGTGGCGATCCTCCCACCATCCCTCCAATCGCCATTGGGTGGGGACATCCACACTTAGAACAAACTGATTTGTTTCAAAGAAGTTGTTCATTCCACCCTAGTAACATTGGAAAACTTCATTTTATATAATGGAATCCACCTATTTCAGCAAAAACCCGGCCGGGTGGCTCCAAGGAAGCATCGGAGCCGTTCACACGGATGGGTCTAAGCAAAGATTGGACACGTGTAACCATATCAGTTACCTGGGCTTCCATCTCCTCGCAGTTTAGCCGGGCTAACGCCTCATCATTTTGCTTCAGGAAGGCGAGACAAGTTTCCTGAAGTTGGGGCGTCATCGATTCAACCTGGAATGAGCCACGGGATTGGCCAGATGGGACAGGATAACATACATAATAAATACGCATGTATGATATACATTTATATAATGATGATAGACTATCATAGAACAGAATATACAACCCAGAAAACTTGACGGGCATATAATATATATATATATATGATTATATGTATATATAATGTTACGCTTGAAACTGGTGGCAGTATGCTGTGGTAAAAAGTGGTTTTTCCCGATGGTTTTCCATAGCAAACAGTGAAATTGACAGGAAACTGCCGGGCATCCTACAGAAAGCTTTCCCCCTGTAAAGATACTGAAAACACAGTAAAGTGACAACTTGGTTCCACACTGCAATCCCTTGATCCAACACATTTTTGACGTAGCTCATCGACACCTCCTCACCCAGATCCAAACGCTCGGTGACCAGGTCTTCCACCGCCGCTTGTAAGGGTACAGGTAAATGGACTTGTTCAGCACTGTTGGACACGCTGGTGGCGCTCGGGAACGATTTGAGTTTCCCAAGTTTCAAGATTCGACGGAATGCATTTGGAAGTTCTTTGCATTTGGAACAGACTGTGGGCGCAGTGGCCACAAACACGTCCCATTTCTGAATCTTCCGCACTTTTCCCCATTTGGATTCATAGACACACCCAGGGAAATATCCTTTCATCTTGCTCACCAATTTGTGTGGTTTTTTTTACCCCTTCCTTGACAGCCCTGAGGTAGGTGCTCATTATCTTTTCTTTTTCAGCAATGGTTGCCATTTGCTTCTTTCCCGTTCCCTTGGGATTTCCCTTCAAGTTCTCTGTTCTTCTCCGTTTCTTTTGGGGGACTGGAATCAAAGTAGTCTTCTTACGCAAGCGTCTCGTTGGGATAGCCAACCTCGAAGGATCCGGCACTGTAGATGCTTCACCAGGTTGAGACGGGGGGGCGGCAACGCTCACCTGCATCAATGCAGCCAATCTCGAAGGATCCGGCACTGTAGATGCTTCACCAGGTTGAGACGGGGGGGCGGCGACGCTCACCTGCATCAATGCCCGAACCAGGTAAGGGATCCCAGCAGGCATGAGAAACATATATATATATACATATTACACACATTTTTTCGTCATTGGTATCAGTCTTGGTGGGGTACCTTGTAGTATCGAATGCTGCTTTGAATTGTTCTCAAGAGTGGTGTGGTGATGGTTTGGGAATGCCTAAAATTAAGCATAAGGAATGGGTTTGGGCTGCCCAGTTCGTGAAACCCATACTTAGAACAAATCCAACTATAACTCTGTAGCCACCCTCATACCACCGGGTTTCCTATTCTGCGTATCACCGCTTTGGTTCACAAATCAATTTGTGTGTATATATAAATATAAACAACTACTTACAATACTTATACCTATTTGTCACCACTCTTGAGCTTCCCAGCTTGTGAAACCCACACTTAGAACAACTCAAACTATGCCACGGGTAGCCACCAGCATACCAAAAGGCTTCCTAGTCTGCCTATCCCTTCTTTGGTTTCCAAAAAACAAATGCATACAGGTATGCATTTGATTAGGTTTGTATCCCATTGGTGGGTTGCATATATCAAAATTAGCCAACAACTTCCCGAAACAAATTACATACATGCGTACCTATATATACCATATAGAAAAAGTATTCCGTTGTTCCCAATATTGATCTCCCCAGGTGGTGAAATCCACACTTAGAACAACCATATTCCTACCCCTCCCTATACACACACACACACCATCCCGCACCTTTTGTCGTTTCCTTGGATTCGGTGCCACTGTCTGCGACATCACGTCCTTTCCCTCGTCGGTGCTCTCATGGTTGGAAGGTTCCTTGATAGGGGAATTGACACCAATTTCCCTCCATGCAGAGCAAGAAATCAGGCAGCTCAGGAAAGCTGCTTGACACACTGTGCCTGTGAAGCTGTTCCCGGCCAGATCGCGGGCCAAACGGTGGTTGTCTGCCATGGAATCAAACGCTTGCATGTTCTCCGCGTCGTAGCGCCAGATGCCCTGCAAACTCAGGTGCTCAATTGGCAGCAAGTAACGCTTCATCATCACAGAGTAGACCAAGTGGCTAGGTGCCAGGCAGGTGGAAACGTCTACTGCCGATTCACTCCAGTTCAGCGACGATGCAGCGTCGACAAACACGTTCATGCTTCCGGATGCCTCAGCTAGTGGCCACCATCAAAAGGGCATCCACTGCGAATGGAGGATGAACGCCACCTCACCATTGAACATTATATACATATGTAGCTACATATGTATGATATATATATATATATATATATATATGCAAAGCTATAAGTATGAAACATAAATGAATAAACCAATAAATGTGTGTGTATATATATATATATATCTCTGCTTGTAAATATAAACAAAAATATAAATCAATATACATGCCCATTTTGGCAATATGTATATATACATATATATATATATAAGAATTTCCCTTCTAGAGCACGACACGGCACACCTTTTTCAAGTTTGGGCAGGCGGGAACGTAGGTAAATGATGGTAAATGAAGCAGGCCACTTGAGGCGTTTGCGTCCACAGGTCTCCACCCCTAACCTAGTGAAGTCAATGGATCACTTCTTCTTATGCAACTTTTTCAAGCAGTTGCCACAAACTTGATAGGCTTTCATCTCCGGATTCGTAGGGACACAGGTCTTGTACAAATGAACCTGCACGCTCAGGGTGAACCTGTTAAAATATGGAATACATCGGGCATTTGAATACCAACAAGTATCAACCTTAATCTGAATCTGACTGTAATTTCTGTGGTGGTGCGAGAAAAACAAGTAGCTACAAAACCCGTTGGAAACTACAGCGCCTTATGAGCGCTACTAAGCTGGTACACGATAAGGCTGCCGTCGGTAGTCACAATGTCCCTGAGAGAATTCACGGGACTGGTGTCCCGGGTGGCTGAACACGAATTGGCCGAAGTTCCGTTGGCTGGCGGAGAGAAAGGTCTCTTGAGGCTGCGTAAGGTCATGAACAAGATGTAGCAAGTGTCCCTCCCTAGACACACCGCGAGGTAGAGCATCATGATATAAAAGAGGAATTCATCCATGTCTATTACCCGGACGGAATCAACAGGGGTGCGGAAAGGGAACTGCTCGAGCCTCTATATTTCTGCGATATTACAATATTATTTTTTCCTGCGATTTTGTCTTTATGTTTTTCATATGGTTTATCAGCAACATTTTGACCGTATATATATATATATATAACATGGATCATTCCCTAGCCCCGTGGTAGAGCTCACCAGGTGGGGAAACCCACACTTAGAACAAATCCCCTGGTGCCTATCCTGCTTGGGTTCCCATAACCCATATGTGAAGAAAATTGTACATACATTGAGTACATGGTAAGATTGATGCTTGTCTGTTTGTTAATCTCTGATGTGTTTGCGTGGGTTCATGTCCCATTCTCATCTATCATCGGGTGACTGGATATCTCAAAAATCTACAGGATCTCACCAGTTGGGGAAACCCACACTTAGAACAAATTCCCTGATGCCTGGGTAGCCATCGGGATACCCGCTGATCTCTTATTTGTCTATTCCCGCTTTGGTTCCCATGACAAATGGGGAAAGAAAATTGTACATATATTGAGTACATGGTAAGACTGATGGTGGTCTAGTGGTTCCCCCCTATGCTTTTTAGTGATGTTCATGTCCCGTTCTCATCTATCTTCGGGTGGCTGGATATCTCAAAAAGCTAAATATTGTATAGCTTCCCAGTTGGTGAAACCCACACTTAGAACAAATCCAATGATAACCCGGATACCAGCTGATTTCCTATTTTGCCTATCTCTTTGTGGTTCCCCTAACAAATTAGAAAAAAAGGTACATACATTGTTTACATGGTAAGATTGAAGGTTGTCTTGTGGTTCATCTCTATGCTTTTTACTCTGGTCCATGTCCCATTCTCATCTATCCTCGGGTGACTGGATATCTCAAAAACCTAAATATATATTGAAGAGCTCACCAGTTGGTGAAACCCACACTTAGAACAAATCCCTTGATGCCTGGGTAGCCACTGGAATACCCGCTGGTTTCCTATTTGTTTATCCCCGCTTTGGTTCCCATAGCAAATCCGGAGGGAAAATGGTGCATAAATTGAGTACATGGTAAGATTGATGGTAGTCTAGTGGTTCCTCCCTATTATTTTTTAGTAATGTTCATGTTCCATTCTCATCTATCTTCTGGTGATTGGATATCTCAAAAATCTAAATATTGTATAGCTTCCCAGTTGGTGAAACCCACACTTAGAACAAATCCGATGATGCCGGAGTAGTCTCCCTGATGCAAGTAGGTTTCTATCTAGATCTTTTTGAGTGCAAAAGAAATTTAGCATTGTGAGCCATCCATTGATTCTCATATAGCGGCCAAATTACAATGTTTTTGGCAACGCACTTCTCCACCAACTGCTGGAGTCTACCATCAGGTAGGTCTACCGCCTGCTGACTCGTACTGAAAGTCTCTTCCATGCTGAAACGAAAGTCGGAAGATAGGCTGTGAAGCACTCGGCAAAAATCTTGTTGACCCTCTTCAACCTTCTCCCTCCCAGTAGATACTGCCACGCACCCCCAGGTTCGGTTCCGGCGTTGGCGTACAAGGTACTTTTGGCTGTCAACACATGTGAAAGCCTCAAGGAGACAACAACGCCATTGGAAAATAAATGGTTTTCCGGGTAAATATACATATATACATATATATATAGTATATATATACACATGTATATATATATAGGGTGGTATGGGTTTTATATATATATATACTAAGCTTGATATGCGCATACTAGTGCGTACCTTTTCATATTCATATTAATTTTTAAATAAATAAATATATATATATACATATTTTGAAAACATCTCGAGCAGATTTTCTATGTTCCACCAAAGGGCCGACCAATAGCCAAGCAGTTCCATGTCTTCAGCCACCACCTGGTCAAACGGATCAAGCCCCCTGGTGGTGAAACCCACACTTAGAACAAATCTAATGCTTATCCGATCCCCTATTTATATAGTGATGTTCATTTATTAGCATCTATGTTTGCCTAGGTATATATATATATATATACACATTTTGATTGGTAAGATCCGCTGGAAATACATACAATCAAACAATATCCGGGTTCCTAATCATCACCTTGCCTCTGTGGCGGGACGGCGGGTGGTCCCATCCTTGCTGGTGCTGTTTTGCATAGCGGCTGCCACATTCTCGTAGAGCGCGGCAATCGGATGGCTGTGTGTGACAACCTGAGATAGGGAGGCACTGGTGACTTGATAGAGGACGTTTTTATTGTATTGTTTGCCGGGTTCTGACTCGTACTTGACAAGTGCCACATACATTACATTCTCTGGTGGTGACAACCGATAGTAATGAAGATATGTGTATATATATATAGTGATTGAACAAAACATTGTGGTTGGCCATGGAACGGATTTGAAGCCATGTTTGTACGTCGGCCCCGATGTGCCATCCTTTTCCGTCTCCGGAGCATCTTGTTCGTAAGCTCCTGCATGTGTGGCCCGATCATGATTCCGGTGGCCTTGGATGCAGGCCGGCGTATTTTCCCAACACATATTCTCTACTCACATATTTAAGAATAAACCAACTGTCTATATCAACAAGAACTATATATATATATGTATGTTA